CTAAATAAATATATAGCTACTAGAGGCCCGGTGCACGACATTCATGGATCCCTCAGCCTGGCCTGTGCCCTTTCGCAGTCCAGGAGCCCTGGGGGGACGTCCCACTAACGGCAGTTGGACATCCTTAGCACTGCTGTGGATGCAGGAGAGGCTCCCACCTCCCATCACCACTGCTGCACTTGCCAGCTGTAAGCCTGGCTCAGAGCTTCTGGCTGAGCAGTGCTCCCTGTGTGGGAGTGCACTGACCACCAGAGGAAAGCTCCTGCACTGAGCCTCTGCCCCCTGGTGGTCAGGGTGCATCACAGCAACCAGTCATTCTGTCGTTTGGTTGATTTACATATTAGCCTTTTATCATATAGGACTAGAGGCCCAGTGCATGAAATTTGTGCATGGGAGGGGGGTGTCCCTAAGCCCGGCCTACACCCTCTCCAATCTAGGATCCCTCTGACAATCCAAAACCACTGGCTCCTAACCACGTCTGCCTGCCTGATTCCCCTAACTGCTCCCTTGCCAGCCCGATCCCCCTAACTGCTCCCCGCTGCCAGCCTGATCCCCTAACTGCTCTCCCCTTCTAGCCTGATCTCCTAAGTGCCTAACTGCCACCTTTTCCCTTCTCCCGTTGCGCTGGCCTTCTCCCTTCTGCCTTCTCCTGCAGCACCTTCTCCCGCAGCCTCTGCGAAAAGGACCACAGTACTAGACCGGCCCTCGCAGCCACGGCTGCACACCCTCAGCCCTTGTAGCCACTGTGGCTTTGTCTGGAAAATACGTCCAGAAAACATCGGTCTAATTAGCATATTACCCTTTTCTTATTATAGATATAGAATAAACTTGTTTAATTAGACCTCCTTTATGATGTAGTTAAACTTTATCCAGTCCAGTGAAGGACCCCAAATTCTCTTACAGGCAATTGGCAGCAACACAGCAGTAAATATCAACACAACACAGATTATTATTGTAGATCACGCAGGGAAAAGAAAGGGCAAAATATTTAACTGCAGCAGCATTTGATTATATTCTGCACAGTGAGAAAACCTGAAGTCATTTTCAAGAGCCACCATTTTTCACTTCTTTTCACTTGGGTCAAGTATCTAAGCTTTCTAAATCTCCATTTTTTGGCTAAGGAGAAGAAAATAGGATTCTACCGAGTCTCCTATCTGCCTACTCCAGGACTTCTGTGAGGGTCAAATGAGATGAGGCACGGGAAAATGCTTCACAGACATTTGGTTAAAGTGTAAAATGTTTGCACCTGGCTATAAAGCAAGTCATCTTCCTGGCTGAAGAAACTCCGAGGTTAGTCACTAGGGAGAGAAAGTCAGGCATTGCTACGTGACATCATTACCCAGTGCGCATAGCCACTGTTTCAGGGCTGGGCTGGGGGCCACATTTTGCGCCACGGGGTCTTGGCAGTGTCAGCAGTGATTTTGTGGGCTGTCACTCTGGGGTGGTAGCAGGGCCTGTGTCCCACTTGGGGGAAGCCAAGTGTTGCTTTGTGGACACCAGGTTCGTGGTGCTGTTTCCCTGTAAATGGCCAGTGCACATAACGGCAGCTCCTGCTATGAGCGTCTGCCCCCTAGTGGTCAGTGTGCATCATAGTGACCAGTCAGACAATTAGCATATTAGCCTTATATATATATAAATATATAGATAGATAATTTTCCTCATAAAATACAATGAAGTACAGAGTCAAGTCTCATCATGCTATCATTTAACTTACTGGAATTCAACTCTGTACTTACAAATGAATACCAAATTTGACCTCAGAAAAGTAGCTTTTCCATGAATGAGTCACCCGAGAAATCAAGTCTGAAATGATAAATTGCTGCTGGCAAAAGGAGTGGAAAGCATGAGTGAATGAGAGGTTTTCCCAGCATGGGGGTAAAGTAAAATGCATTTTTCAGATCACCAGACAGGTGGATGGTGATGGCTTCCTTAGTACACTTAATACACAAAAACATGAAATCAGTTGAGCTTCTAATGTTATTACCGAAAAACAAATCACTGGTCAACTTTGAAGGATGCTAGATAACCAACTCATTAACTGGTTAATAAAGGGAAAGAAACAAACATTTATCTTGCCTTTACTATGTGAACTATGGACAATGGACAATGATGCAGCTCTCTTACCGGGATCTACCCTCCATGGGCTGTCTGTTAAGGATCTGAATAGGCCCCCTAGCACGAGAATGAATCTTGTCATCCACCATATGCTTCAAACGCTGGTAATAAGTGGGGCCGATGAAAATTTGTGATGTGATTTTTCTACCAGTGAATCCATTGTACAAGACCTGAAACGGAGTTTGAAGCACAGACTTTAAAATATTAAACAAGTTCAAAGAATATATGTACATATACTGTATGATTCCATCTATAAAAAATCAAAACAGAAGAACCAAGATGGTGGCATAAGGTATAGACCTGTGTATGCTGCCTCCCACAACAACATTGAAACTACCAACTATAAGACAAAACAGCTATCATGCAGAACCATGGGAAAGCTGGCCCAGTAGAAGTTCTACAACTGGAAGGAAAGAAAGAAGCGCATTGAGACTGAGTAGGAGGTGCAGAAGCGCCAAGAACAGAGGTATGGAGTAGCGCGCCAGGCAGGCTGCAACTGGATGCACGTTTTTTGTTTTTTTGTTTTAAATTTTTATTTCCTTAAGTATTACAAAGAGTATTACATATGTCTCCTCCCCCCACCCTTGACATTCCCCGGGCCCCTACCCCCTAGTGTCCTGTGTCCATTGGTTATTCTTATATGCATGCACCTAAGTCCTTTGGTTGATCTCTTAACCACCCCCTAAACCCTCCCTAGGCTTCCCACTGTAGTTTGACAGCCTGTTCAATGCTGCTCTGCCTCTCCATCTACCCCTGTTCATCAGTCTATGCTGGTCCCATTATCTGTCCCTACCTCACTGGGGCCATCTCGGCCTCACCGGAGCCATTTAAACCTCACCAGGCCATCCTGACCTCACCGGGGTAGTGTCAACCTCACTGGGGCCATCCCAACCTGACCAGGGCGTTTCAACCTCACCAGGGCCGTCCCAACCTCGCCGGGGCCATCCCGACCTCACCGGGGCCATCCCGACCTCACCGGGGGCGTTTCAACCTCACTGGGGCCGTCCCGACTTCACTGGGGGCATTTCAAACTCACCGGGGCCATCTCGATCTTTCCGGGGGCATCCGACCTCACCGGGGCCGTCCCAGCCTCACCGGGGCTGTCCCAATCTCACCGGGACTGTATCGGCCTCACAGGGCCGTCCTGACCTCACCAGGGCCGTCCCACCCTCACTGGGGAAACACGAAGTTTGGCCCTCTGTCCCCTGCCGGGCGGCTCCCCACCAGACAAAATCTTCAGGGGTTCCAGGTGGCTGAACTTCTAGCGCGCCTGCTCGGACTTCGCACTCCACCAAGTGTACAGACTGCCCGTCTGCCGACCCCCAGCGTCCCACGTGAGACTGGAACCGGTGGGCGTGCCTGTGCGCCTGCTGTTACAGCGGTTCCACATCGCCAGCCCAGGTGGGCCAGGCCCTGGCCTGCCCTGAACCCGACTCCGCCCCCCGATTGCGTCCCTCCCGGATGAGAGGAGCTGAAATCTGCAGCCTGCTGGGTTGGGCTCTGTACTTGGTGCCTCTGCACATCCTACTCAGTCTCAATGGTCTTCTTTCTATGCGAGGAGTTGAAATCTGCAGTTTGTTGGGCTGGGCTCTGTACTTGGTGTCTCTGCACATCCTACTCAGTCTCATTGCTCTTCTTTCTTTCCTTCCAGTTGTAGAGTTTCCACTGGGCCAGCTTTCCCATGGTTCCGTATGATAGCTGTTTGTCCTATAGTTAGTAGTTTCGAAGTTCTTGTGTGAGGCAGCACGCACAGGTCTGTTTCTTACACTGCCATCTTGGTTCTCCTGGGTCTGTGTCTCCCATGGGTGCGAGCAGTTAAGTCTGCAATTTGTTGGGTTAGGCTGCAAAAGCGCAGGTGGGTCTTTTTATGCACCTGGCACAGCTTGGATGGGGATGTAAATTGATTAGGGCTGGGTCTCAGGGAGTCGCCATGGTGGAGCAAATAGCAATGGCGGCATCTCCGCGGCCCATCGCCTCTCCGGGACACCAGGGCTTCGTGAGCATTGCTGGCGAGTGCTGGCGAGCAGCATGCGCATTTTTTTTTTTAATCAGAAGGGGATACAAACTCTCAAATCCACTGAGCTTGTTTGGGGTGGGATTCTGAGGTCCCAGAGTCCTATGGGGAGAGGTGGGACTGCCTTGCAGCAGGTCGGAGAGCGAGGGTGGCTTTCTCGCGGAGCTGCTCGCCAGTACTCAGGGACACGGAGACACGGAGTCACGTAGAGGGCAAGGAGTTGCGGAGAGGCTGACGGCAACCACTGCTGTTTGCTCCGCCCTTGTGATGCCCAGAAACCTCACCCTACTCAATTTACATCCCCACCCAAGCTGTGCCAGTGGCACAGAAGGAACCACCTGTGCTTTTACAGCCTAACCCAACAAACTGCAGATTTCAACTCCTCGCATACATAAGGGACACACTCAAGAAGCAGAATAAGGTTTGGAGGAAGCCAGAGCCGGACCCGCCTAGGCCAGCGACATGGAACCACTGTAACAGCAAATGCACAAGCAGGTCAACCATATCCAGTCTCACATGGGACGCCGGGAGACGGCAGACAAGCAATCTGTGCACTTAGTAGAAAATGAAATCCAAGTAAGCATATCAGATATTCAGCCAGCTAGAATGCCTGGAGATTTTGTCCAGCAAGGAGCCTCTCAACAAAAGACAGAATGCCAAACTTCATGTTGACCAGTTAAAGTATGATGTCCAGCACCTGCAGACGGCTCTCAGAAACTTACAGCATTGGCAACACGCAAGGGAGCAGCAGGAGAGACAGCGAGAGGAGCTTCTGTCTTGCACCTTCACCCCCAATGTGGGATGCAGCACCCCCTGCAAGGCTGCATGAGGCTGCGATGGCCCCTGCAAGGCTGCATAAGGCTGCAATGGCCCCTGCAAGGCTGCGTGAGGCTGTGACGGCCCCTGCGAGGCTGCGACGGCCCCTGCAAGGCTACGACGGCCCCTGCGAAGCTGCGATGGCCCCTGCAAGGCTCTGAAGGCCCCTGCGAGGCTGCGATGGCTCCTAGGAAGCTGGCGGAACCGTGCGAGCCACCCAGATGGCTTCATCGACGGTCCGCGAACCAGCTCACAGCACCATGCACAGCTATCACCCAAAGGGCAAGAGGGGCGAGAGCAGCTGTAGTGTCGCTTTCTCTTCACTTTTGGTAGCGAAATCTTCATTTTAAACATAAGAGGATACATTATTTTAAAAAGCCGTTATGTGGCTCCGTACCCTTTCTGAGTAGAGCGTGAACAAGTCGTGAGAGACATTTCTGAACACAGGGACACATTGTGGATGGAAATAGCTACATTTGTCATGTGTATGACCTTTGACCCGGTGACAAAAAGCGTACACATATGGATGAGGACAGTGGGGGGGTAGGGGCAGAGGGTGGGGTGGGAACTGGGTGGAGGGGAGCTATGGGGGGAAAAAGGGGGAACAACTGTAATAATCTGAACAATAAAGATTTATTTTAAAAAAATCAAAACAGACAAAACAATCTACACTGTTAGATGTCAATAGAGTAGAGCGGGCAAGGTAGTTACTGGAGGGAGACACAAGAGGGGGCATCTATGCATAAAAGAGTTCTGGAAATTTAATTTTCAGGATGTGGAGGCCAATCACATGGGTATGTTCACTTTGTGAAAATTCACCAAGCTATACATTTATACTTTGTAACATATTTAAAGTATATACTTCAATAAAAGGTTTAAATTCTTTAAGAATGAAACTACATTGATACAGCCATTCAATGGTATAAAATGTAAGCATACAGAAGAATAAGGGCCTGACCAGTGTGGCTCACTGGTTGAGTGTCGACCTATGAACCTGGAGGTCACGATTTTATGCCAGGGTTACAGGCCTGATCCCCAGTAAGGGGCGTGCAGGAGGCAGTCGATCAACGATGCTTCATCATTGGTGTTTCTCTCTCTCTCTCTCTCTCTCTCCTCTCCCTTCCTCTCTGAAATCAATAAAAATGTTTTTTTAAAAAAAAGAAAAAGAAAAAATCCTTTCTAGAAAAGAAGGATTCTGAACTTTAAAAAATCTGCTATGGAAAGCTATAATATCATAGGTTCATTTTATTAACATAGTATTTATAACTAATTTACCTAAAAATAAAAACTCAATTATAACTCTTCAAATAGGAAGCAATCCATGAGAACAGTTACAAAAAGAGAGACTCCCAAACACTTCCTATGGCTCAAGAAAAATACATTATAAAGCCCTAAAACCAAGTTCTCTATTTGTTAGGCTGCAGACATTAAACCTCCACCAAAAGACGCACACACTCCTAATGCACACACGTCCTAATAATATAGCTATAAATTTAAGTTCTCGATGAACTAACCACCAATGAATTAACTCTTATCTATAGAAAAGAACCAATAAAAAGGTTAACCAACATATATATATGTGTGTGCGTGTACTGCTTTGATACAGTAAATTTTATAAAAATTTTGACTAAGCCATCACTACAAATTTTTGCAAAAAGAA